TATTAGGGTACTCCTCATCTAATTTGGCTGTATATACTTCTATAAATTCTTCATTATCATTAGATTCTGATAGTTGATCACTGTTGGTTTCTGTAAAGTTTATTTCGTATATTCGAGATAGAGTATCAGTATTTCTATGAGTTTTTCTGGGCTTATGAATAATCGTGAAGTTATAAGGTTCTAACCTTAATATCCATCGAGCCTTTTTACCTTTTAATTCCGATGTTTTTAGCCATTTTAATGCGGCATAGTCAGTAACTAAATAAAAGTGGTTACCACCAATGTATTGATGGAAGTACTCTACTGCCCATACAGCAGCTAAACATTCCAATTCGGTTGCTGAATAATTTTGTTCAGCTTTGTTTAAGCTTCTACTCGCATATAATATTACATACTCTCTTTTTGCTTGATCAATTTGGGCGAGGATAGCACCTAATCCTGAGATAGAGGCATCAGCATAGATATAGAATGGGCTATCAAAATTAGGTTGTTGTAAAATAGGGGCTGATATTAAATAATTTTTTAAAGTTTCGAAAGCCTGATTTTGAATATCAGTCCAAACATAGGGTTCATCTTTTTTTAGAAGTTGGTTTAAAGGCTTGGCTATTTTGAAGAAGCCTTTAATAAACTTTCAGTAATATGATATTAATCCTATAAATCCTCGTATTTGTCTAACACTAGTAGGTACAGGGAAATCTTTTATTTTTTTAATTTTTTCTTCGTCAGGTCGTAAACCATCTCTTCCAACTACATGGCCTAGAAACTTGATATTAGGTAAGAAGAAGAAACATTTTTCTAAGTTTAGTTTTAAATTAGCTTCCCTTAATGTATCGAATACTTGTTGTACATGTTTTATATGTTCCTCGAAGGTGCCTGAATAGATCGTAATATTATCTAAGTATACTACGATGAATTTTCCTACGAACTCGCGTAATATAGTATCCATTAATCACTGAAACGTTACTGGGGCATTACATAGACCGAAAGGCATTACGTTAAACTCGTAAGTGCCAAACTTTGTAATAAATGCTGTTTTCTTTTTATCCTTTTCAGACATAGCTACTTGCCAGTAACCACTAGCTAAATCCAAGCTTGTGAACCACTTTGCTCTTCCAAAACTATCTAATACTTCGTTGATATTTGGAAGGGGGTACACATCTTTTTCTGTTACCGAATTTAACTTTCGGTAATCGACACAGAACCTTTTCTTACCATCCTTCTTTGGGACTAACACTATCGGGGAACTCCATGGTCCCTCCGAGATTCAGATTACTTTAAGTTCTTCCATTTTTCTTATCTCTTTTTTAAGGAATTCTTGATCATCTAGTGGTATCCTGTAGGGTTTTTGTTTAACTGGTTTTGCATTACCCGTATTAATATGGTGATATGTCTGATTTGTATGTCCTAGAACCATAGTTTGTCCTTCTTTTGAAATGTTAGTTGCGAAGATATCATAATTTTTTAATAATAGCTTTTCAGCTATCTCTTTTTGACTATCGGTAAGCTCTTAGTTTATACTAACTCCTACTTCTTTATTTTCTAGCATATCAGCCAAATATGTTGCGGGACTCTCTTCTTTTTCCTTTTCTGGATTTTCTTCCCAAGAGTTGTAATACAGGTTATTCCAAAAATCTGTATCTATTTCGTCAGAAAGGAAGGATTCCGATTCCTCCTCTAGTTCATCAATCTATTGGTCCTCCTCGTCCTCATCTTCGAAGTCGTTGATAGGTTCGTTCTGAATATGTGTAGTATTAATGGTTGCTTGCTTACCTAGATATCTAATGTGTAGTGTATGTTTCCCAAAGTCTAAGGTTGCACAAGACTTTGTAAACTAATCTGTGCCTAATAACAGTACTTCATCCATAGACTCAATTACTTGTAAGTCTATTAGTATTACTATGTCTTGGAGGACTAGTTTCACGTTTTCAACTACTCCCAATGCTTTAGCCCACCCACCATTTGCAGTTACTACAACAGTTTTTGATCCCTTTGTTGGTGCAAGACCTAATTTTCTCATTAGCCTTTCAGTGACAATACTTACTGCGGCTCCTGAATCTAGAATAGCAACAACAGAAGTTCCTTTAATCTTTACATGACATCTCATTGCTACAGTCTTCTTATGCTATTTAGTCTCTAGGCTGTTAGCTTCGGTGATCAGGGGTTTCTTCCGTCTTAATATCTTTGCTAGATTTCGCCTTTGGTTTAGATACTGTAACGCTTAGGCTAATGTCATTTGAGCTTTTGTGTTAAGTATATCATTTGATATATCATATGGCTCTAATTGATCAATTACTGATGGTAACCTTTTTCTTACTATTGTTCTAGGGGGGTTTGGTTCTAACGGGGTTACTTCCATCAGTATTTCTTCTTCTTCAATTCTTACTGATTTTTGAGTTTTGCTCCTTAAGGTATGTTCTTTTTGTGATTCCGATTGTTTTTGTCTTGCTTCTTTTCTATTTATAGGATAAGGGTGGAGTCTAGAATTTTGAGAAACATAAACAGGTTCTTCATCATAATATTCTTCGTAGTCTTCAGTTTCCTCTGTTTCAGCATAGTTGATATTCCGATTACTATTCGGTTTTGGCTAATAGGTTTGTTGGTCTTTTTTTGATTAAATTGCTTCTTTTCTGACAAACAATTTCGCGCATAGTGACCGATTTCACCACACTTATAACATGTTATAGATGTGTTTGTTTGCCTATATAGTTTCGATGGTCTTGATGTTGTTTGGGCTGTTAATGCAGATGCAATTGTAGCATAATTTATGGTTAATTATTGCATTTGTTGTGTTAGGAACTCGATATCCTTTTCATAGTTTCTAGGACCATTCGGTATCGTAGGATCAGCATTATTAGCAAAATCGGTTCCTTGCTCGTGAGTTCTAGCAAGATTAAGGATATCATTTAGATCCGCGGGATTATGCATTAAGATAATGGGGAGCATATCGGGCCTGAGTCCTTTTTTAAAGTAGTATAATTTTTAAGTGTCTGGAACATTTCCTCCTATTTCTACTCATTTAATTAACCTTTTAAATCTACTATAATAGGTATCTACGGATTCCCCAAGGTTTTGTTTTAAGTTATCAAGATCTCTATGCTACTTATTATTCCATCGCTGTGTACAAAATTGGACCTTAAATGCATTAGCAGTAGCAGTCCAATCATTGATATGATTGTTCGTAGCAGCATTAGCAGTAAAGTAGGTCTGCTGCCATTCGTCTGCATTATCTCGCATATAGGCCAGAAAAATTTCTCTTTTCCTTCTTATACTCCAATTATTAGCTGCAGCGGTTTTTTCAAAGCTATTGAGCCATGTCTGAGGGTCTTGGGTCCCGTCTCCTGTAAATGGCTCTATCCGTAATAAGGTATTTTCTTTCTGATTATTTTGTAAATAGTCTAAAACGTCTTGTGCGTTGGCCATATTTGTGTTTTGGTGTGTAGGTGTTACTGGTAGGGTTTGGAACAAAGTATCTAAATTATAGTCAGAGTTCGAATCTGAGGCTGAGGATCCTTCTGAGTTTACAATAGACATAGTCTCACTGTAACTATATAATGTTGCAAATGGATCTAATCGGAAGTGGTTAGTTAGAATATATGCTTGTCTAAACCGATAGGCTAATGTTTCAAAATTGACTTCGGATCTATATCTAAAGGTGAGAGTTATAGCTTGGAAGTATTCTTCCGAGGGGTTTAAGCTTTGAATTATCCTTCTGAATAGTTCTAAGGTTACTGTAGTGTAGTTACTAACAGGGTATTCTACGGTAAACCAATTCCAAAATGTGTTAAACTGGTCTGACGGTTGTCCTTGTACTGGAAAACAATTGACACACGAATAGTCAAGAAGAGTTCGTATTAGTTGTCTTCTAGTCTGGGGCGTATCAGGTTGTAAAGTGTGTTGTAATCATGTAGTTGATTCTTATAGGCAAATGTGCTATATGCAGTCATGCAATAACCATTCCTTACGCCTACACTTTGGCTCGTGGGGAACTTATTAACTTTGTTTTATTATTGAATCCCTGATTCGATATTCTAATTATTCTCTATAAATTCGAATCTCTCGAATTTCTACTCACAATTTCTTTGGTGCTTGTTGAGAATTCCTTATCTCACAGTCACTACTAATTTGTCACGTGCGGAATCTACCTATTCGAAGTCCTGGATGACAGTTTACTATAGCTGCGGATATGTTGTACTTATCGGTAAGATGATATGAATATCGACTTCATGCTAAGTAAAGTATGTATATTGCTGTTAAGCGTTGAATAGGATTTAAAGTGATTTGCAGTTACGAGAGAGGCAAACGGCTAGATGTATATGAAGATACAAAAAGTCGTTACACAATTTATCAATTAATAAACAATCAATCGTGAAGTCCCTTCACAGTTCTAGAGTTATCTCAACTCTATACTGATATCTTTGAGTTATATTCGAGTTATCAAGAACTGAATGAACTACTTTTATTGAAGATGTTTTCAGAGGTCTTATATAGAGAAGTATCAGTAACGATTTACATTTTATCTTACATTAACGTTCCTAATTCTAATTATTCTAAATTAATCTTTTAATATTATTCTAATAGGTTTTGAACGAAATGTATCTGATACTATACAAATTATAATAATTATCTAATTTAGCGGTCATAACTATATAAGATCGATTTGGAAATGTAAGGCGATCTAATTAAGGTAATAATATAAGTATAATAAAAACTAGCTAATAATAGAAATACTGATATCTATATAAGGAGATCTTATAAAAGACCAAATATGATAATCATTTTAAATATATCAGTTACAATAGTGATTATCACTAGATGGTGAGGTTGAATACCATATCAGAATTGTATATAGTTTTCCGAGTGTAACAGTACTATAAACAGGCTTGACAAGAATCTATAAGCTAAAAGTAGGACATTAGACTACATCGAAGCACAGTATTTCTGGAGGATCAAATAAGCCTTTTACAATTTTCCCTTCATTAATTTATGTGTATCATGCATAAAATTCTTAAGACTTGTCAAGGTTATTCAAATAAGTATTCTTTTCCAAATTTTTTAGTTCTTTCTCGCAGCTCAGGAATCTTGAGAATCTTTATTATAGGCTCTTACAAGTAAGTAATTGGTTTATCTTTTGTTTTCTTCTTCATAGTAGGATATCAAATTTAGATAGATTACACTTTAACATCACTTTGGTGCTTCTCTTAAAGCATATTCAATAGCTAATGCAGATATTTTCTTCTTTATTTCTGTTTAAACTCTTGTTATCTTAATTTCTACTAAGCCAAGAAAGTTAATTGATAAACAATTTTGTGGTCTAAGAATCTTATGATTTATTATGATTTCAGTGTCTTCTATTTTTTGTAATATGATTTTTGTTTATCATGAGATAAGATGTGACTTGGTGCAGTTTTTATATAGTAATGATCTTCATTTGCTTTCTATGTAGTTGAATTTTTTTTTTTGCTTGACTTTTGCTAATTCAATTTTTATTTTACTTTTTTTAGAGGTTAATACTAGGATTACTGATGACCTAGTCTGAATTTAATTTAATATCACATTTAGATTGAATTGTTTTTAGATTAGTATTACAGATTCTATACTAAGAATTAGTATACATAAACAATACTAACGATCTTCTCTTCTATTTCAGGGTCAATTCCAAATTCATTTAAAAGTTCTCATCAAATAGCTTCTTGTTAGACTTCTTCAATAATTTATTCACACAGTACTAACAAGTCACAGAGTATATTGGCTACTAAATTGTAATCATAGAATCAGATTACATATAGTGCTTTACAGAAATCTAACCTCCCCAAGGTATAGTAGTCTCTAATAGTTGAGTAGTTATATATGTAGAATATTTTGTCATATTGTCTAATTGTTCTATAATAGTTTAATTTTTGCTATTAATTTCTGCTTAGTTTAGTATACTCTAATATCTTTATTGAAGCAGTGTAGACTTTATTCTCTTACTGATTTTCACTCTCTAAAATATTAGTAATAGGTCAATATTTTTGTTAGTCTTTTGGCTTCTTGACATCATTAAGAATATCTATGCTAATTTCTATTTTATTTTTTATAAGTTGGACCTTGGATGAAATCATATTAGATTTTATAGTTATTATCAAATTATGCTGAGAAAATAGAAGTTTAGAGTCTAAGAGTAGGTTAGGATAATAGTCTAACTAACTAATCTATCTATAACCTACTACTAAACTAACAATAACTCTAATAGTAGAAAGTATCAAAAGAGGTTATAAATAATTTGGTCTAGGTTTATTAAGGTCAAAGTCAGTTTGTTTATATTTAGAATAAGAGAGAGTAATTGTAGATTAATGAATATGATATTAAGAATTATTATGCAAAAAGGATTTGTTCTCAATTCTAAAATTGTTTTATTAAACTCTTTGTGAGCTAAGTTTTCTTTATTAAAGAAAAAATGTAGCACTTATATACCTTTTAAGACAATAGTAAATATATTTAGGATTTAATTAATTTTGCTAAGATATCAATTAAATTAGATTTTCTTTAAATAGTAGACTGAATTACTATCTATCTAATGCTAATTAATTCAATAAATTAAATAAATCTACTATCTTAGCATACTAATTTATCTAAATACAGGTAAGGATTAATACTAATCTACTAATTATATATCTTTGTATTATAAACAAGCTTAACAAGAATCTATAAACTAAAAGTAGAATATTAGACTATGTCAAAGCATAGTATTTCTAGAGAGTCAAATAAGCTCTTTACAATAGCTATACTCCTAATACTAGTGTTTCAGTATTTTAAATAAGATTTTTTATTTATTGGATCATAGTTAAAAAAACAGGTTTTTTTTATCTTAAACTTTACTCAATAATCTAGAATTTTACTATATTATTTATAGCTATTTTTATAAATTTTAGGACATCTAAAAATTTATTCATTTCTTAAAATCTTCTCAGTTTTATTCTGTAAATTATCTAACTTTTCAGAAACTACATCACTATTGTGAGGTCTAAATAATGTAATTTAGATAAGCTGTGATTGATCATATTTGCTGCAGATATGCAGATCAGTTGCCTAATATAGATATTCTAGCAATTAATTCAATTAATTAAATTAATATTATTTCTTAAATATATTATGAAAGAGAAATTTAATACTAAAAGGAGGTTTAATGATTAAAATAGTTTGAATAAAGAAATTAGAAAAATAAAATTAAATAAATAAAATATAAAAATGAAATTTATATAGTAAAATAAGTTATAATTAAATATTATTATAAAGAAGAATTTATATATAAAGGCTCAAAAATAAAAATAATTACTAATAAAAGCCCAAAATAAAAATTCTTATATATAATGACCTAAAATCAAAAATTATTACAAATTAGAACCTGTTTAATCTCTAAGCTATACTAGGTGACTAAGTCATATGACTTACATAGTGTTAGCTAGAGAAAATAGTAGCTAGATTTTTTGTTAGCTTATATATAACTTCAAAAACTAATTGTCAGTAAAGTTATGATAATAATAAACATTTTTGACTTTTACTTGACTTTTATTTTAACTTTTACTTAAATTTTCACTTTAATTTTCACTTTAAATTTTCTTCACAATTTTTATTTTGGCTTTTACTATGACTTTCATATTATCTTTCATTTTGACTTTGAACTTCTCTTTAACTTTATTTTGACTTTCACTTTTTTTTAGAGAATTTTTGTCATATTGTATTCACAAAAATATAACTGAAACAGACATATAAGTTATTATTTAGCATCTCATTAATTCATATTAATTTTGCTAATTAATTAAATAAGTAATTCAAGTTTATGAATATTCATTTTTATTAATTTAGTTTTTAATTGATCATTTAAATAAGCTATTTAAGTTAGTAAATATTTTAACTTTGTTTTTTGTTCATTTAGCTAATGAATACAAAGGATTTTTAATATTTAAAATAACTATAACATAGTATATTATCTATTTGTTTAGTTATATATAAAGATCTTTTTAATTAATATATTAAAATTTGTAAAGTTATAAGTTTGTTAGCTAGATTTATAAATAGTATATCTAGTTTTTTGTATAAAAAATTAATTGCCATTTTAGATATATTTTAATCTAGCTACTATTTTTTGGGCAATGACACTATGTAAGTCATATAGTTAATATAACTCAAAGATTAAACAAGTTCTTATTTATAATAAATTTTTATTTTGAACCACTATATGTAAGAATTTTTATTTTAAGCCTTCATTTATAATTATTTTTATTTTTGGGCCTATATATATAAATTCCCCTATTATAAATAAAGAATCTAATTGCCTCTGAGATAACTAAGTCTTGTCTTTGCTTTCTTATAAATATTAAAGTTCTAATTTTATTAAATAAGTTGCTCATAATATTATATTAGTACTATATCGCTAATACACTCCTTAAGTTCTAAACAATACTTTGTTGTTCATTTAATATCTTGTTTATGTGACTACAAACCTTTTAGACACTTGTTACTAATTTTGCTAATCCAAGTAACTGAAGTTT